CGGCGTGACGGGGAGACTTTCTGCGGCAGAAGTGGCTTCAGCAGCAGCAGCACCCGGTGCAGCAGCAGCAGCACGCTGCACACTCCCGTTGGAGAGGGCCGGGGCAGCTGCTGCTGCTGCTCCTGCTGCAGCTGCTGCGCTGGGAGGCGCCGCACCCATGAAATAGCTCCGAGCTGCTTCTGTGTAGCTGCTGCCGCGCTCTTCGAGGTACTGCAGCAGCGGGACGCGGCGAGTGAGCGGCGGCGAAACGTACTCGGGGCTGCACCCTGCTGCTGCAGCAGCAGCAGCAGCAGCACGGGCTGCTGCTCGGTCAGCATGCTGCTGCTGCGCGTCTGTTAGGCCTTCACGGGCCCGCTGCTTTTCTGCCGCCAACTGCTGCTGCTGCTGCTGCATGCGCGCGTGCTGCTGCAGCATGCGGTCAATGCATGCCTCCACGCTGGGGCTTCGGGCAGCAGCTTCCTGCAAGTCCTGCAGCAGCAGCAGCTTTGTGCGGCCAGCTCCCGCTGTCTTGATTGGCTGCTGCAGCGGCAGCGCAGCAGCAATTTCCCTCAGCAGAGATATCGGGAGGGCCTCTGTCAGCCCCACACACTTCTCTGCTGCTGCAGCTGGCCCCGCTGCTTCTGCTGTTGTCGCTGCGGCTGCTGCTGGTGTTGCTGCTGCTGCTGGCGTTGCTGCTGCTGCTAGTGGTGCTGCTGCCGCTGGTCCTACTGCTGCCGCTGGTCCTGCTGCTGCCGCTGCTGCTGAAGGCGCAGCATCAGGGACAGCAGCAGCAGCAGCAGCAGGAAATGAAGAGGGAGGAGACACAGCAGCAGCAGCTAAGGGCCCCGCGCCTCCAAACTGCTTCGCTCTTGGCTGCCAAGAGGCCCTCTGGGGGCCCTCAGCCCCAGGGGCGAAGAGGCCCCTAGGGGTGAACCTGCGCGAGAAACACAAGCAGCAGCAAGTTAGAATCAGCAGCAACCAACCCTGCTGCTGCTGCTGCTGCTGCTGCTGTTGCTGCTGCTGCTGCTGCTGTGCTGGGCCTTACATGCTCATAAGGGTCTGCGGCTCTTGAGGCTTTCGGAACGCCGCGTCCTTCGCTGTGTTGCTGAGGCCGAAGTCACGCGGCCCGCTGCAAGGGACTTCAGCAGCAGCATCTGCTGCTGCTGCTGCTGGTGCTGCTGCTGCTGCAGCTCCTTGAGCTCCTGAGTCCCCTTGACCGTCTCTGTCTGAGAGGGCCTGCCGCATCTGCGTGTAGCAAATAAGCGGAGACAGACACATACACGAGTTGCTGCTGCTGCAAAGCGGGTTCTGTCCTGCTGCTGCTGCTGCTGCTGTTGCTGCTGCTGCTGCTGCTGCTTCTCACCCGCATGAGCAGGGAGCGGGGGTCAAAGACATAGGGAACGGATCCCAGCTCCCCCGAGAACCTGTTTTTTCGAATTTCGAGGGAGTAGTGCATGCGGCGTTGTTTGTGTCTGTGGGGTCCCCGCTGCTGCAGCTCCTGCTGCAGCTGCTGCTCCTGGGGGGTGTGGGTGGGG